AAGGCAGGTGTTTTTCGCTTGAGTAAGCTGCCATTAGTGGATCATTGCGGGTTGGAGAGTGACGCCAGAGGCTAGTGATCGCTCTGTTGCTTGGAAGTGTTATGATAATGGTCTATTAGTCAGTCATCGCCAGGTTGTGGGACACGGTGGCCACACGCCACGAGAGGACCATCCTGCCCCCACAGTGTTAGGCGGGTGGTAATGATCTGGGCAACACGCTGCCTCCTCTCACCGTCAACTCAGACCAGGCAGCTGCCTGCCTCACACTCAGGAGTGTTAGTGCTGTCAGCGCCACCATGCAGCTGCTCCCTCACACTTTCAACACATCAAAAAGTAATTACATCAAGGTCTCCCGCTGCTCCTTGCGTCCTTCACACTTCCTTGTGGCATTATGTTATGGCGGAAGGAACTGTTGTACGTCTTCAAGTCCCCATACGTCTGTCAATCCTAACATTACCCCCCAACCACCGTCACCATTATCATCACCATCACCACCAGTCACCACCACCATCGACATCATCATCATCAACCACCACATGTCTTAATCCGTAAACACAGTAAAAAAATTAACGACAATCCACTAATGGCAATGTGCGTTTGTGTGTGAGACCTGACCTTAACCTTTGACCCCCAGAATCACAAAGACATACACATACATACTGTACATACATACATACATGTATACATACATACATACATGGTATGGGATGGAGGAGGGATGGTATGGTAGTTAGGGGTAGTCTTGGAGGGCAGCATCCCCCCCCACCATTAACACTAACGACCTTCTGCCACACTATGAGAACTGACCAGGCAGGAAAACTCCAGGTGGGGAGGATTGAGGGAGGGAAGGGTCTTCTTCCTCCCTCCTCCTCTACCATACCCTTCTACCCCTTTCCTCTCCCCTTTCCTCCCCAACCCTTTCCCCACCTCTCCCAACTCCTTCCTTCCTTCGTTATTTTCTTTTGAATAGGAAATTATTGATCGCTGGAGGCATCTGCTTCACTTGATTCTATGGCCCTCCTCCCTCCCTCCTCCCTCCTCCCTCCCTCCTCCCTCCCTCCCTCCCTCCTTCCTTCCTTCCCTCCCTCCCTCTCCCTCCTCACTAACGAGGCGAGGTACCTCCAGCAGTAGGTTCTTAACGCACGCTGCACCGTAGTTCGATGTTAATGAGACTTACAGAAGTATAACGATCTGACTGGTAAGGATTCTGCGTTAGTCATTTACCTGATTTCCAAAAACACTGATCGTAATAAATTGACTTATCAGAATGTGAAAGATTACGTGTGTGTGTGTGTGTGTGTATGTGTGTGTGTGTGTGTGTACAATATTTAAGTATTCATGGGCGTGCAGTGGAGCAGAACAGTTCCTTTATGTGGCGTGGCCTCTTGACCTGCCCACTCACAGAGAGAGGTGAGGCCTGGTGGGTACAGACAGGATAGGTCTCAGTGTGCATTGCAGGTGTGTGTGTGTGTGTGTGTATAGCAGGTGTGTGTATAACAGGTGTGTGTATATAGCAGATGTGTGTATAACAGGTGTGTGTATATAGCAGATGTGTATTCTATATAACATCCTGTCCTCCGTCTTACACCTGACCTTGTGACTAACGAGGGTATACCTGTACAGCTCCTCATCCCTTTAAATACTAATTACCCTCTTATACCCGCACTACAAAGACAACCCCCCCCCCCTCATTACAGCTAGTACACGGACGAACATTAGTCTGACGTAGAGAGAAACGCCAGATGAGGATTATTACTCCTGCTGGCGATGTTCTGAGGATAAAGGCTTGGTATGGTTCTACTGACGACCCGTGAAAGTGTGGAGTGAAATGTGGACGGAAATGAAATTGAAGTTACTAGAATCTCTGTGTGTGTGGACGTGTTTGTGTTAGTGACCAGTAGATTGTGTTGAAGTGTGATGCTGATGGGTTGAAATTCACTTGTGAAGGAGATCTACCTGACGTACCTGGGAGAATCTTTACCTGGGAGAATCTTTACCTGGGAGAATCTTTACCTGGGAGAATCTTTACCTGGGAGAGCCTTTACCTGGGAGAGCCTTTACCTGGGAGACAACATAGCTTGGGGTGGTGCGTCGTGGGGCCTTCGTGTCAATACGTCTAATAAAGAAACTGACAGGTACAGACGGCGACACGTAATCTAACCTACAGACAGATAGACAGACAGACAGGCAGACAGAGTTAATATGATATTCGTTTCTATTTAACACAAAATTACGTGACAGTGTCTAGATGGAGCCAGAGCCAACACGGGGCCGCAGGTATATATTACACATACATTAAGTTAATTAACCTGATCTATATATCAATGTTATTCACACAAATGATGCCACTCTGTCTTAATGGTGGCACACGACTCCCGCACCGTGTTATAAAACTATGTGGCACTAACAACCTCTCCCCCCCCTCCCCTTCCCCCGTCCCCTTGACCTGTTTCATGACACACCCCGTGCCTGACACCCCCCCCCAGGTCCTGCCACATGACACTCACACCCAGTGCCTGACCCTCCCTCCAGGTCCTGCCACATGACACTCACACCCAGTGCCTGACCCTCCCTCCAGGTCCTGCCACAGACACTACACCCAGTGCCTGACCTCCCCCCCCAGAGAAAGCGTATAACGGGGTAAATTTGTAAACAAGATCATTAGTTCCCGCGGTGCTTGTTGTGCTCCCAGCAGGCGTGCGACGCCATCCGGGTAATGATAGTGACGTTTATAAGCGTCATTGAATGCCTACTAGAGTTGCCTGTTCATTCTCTCTCTCTCATGGTATTCCAATAACGACAATATGATTCTGTGTTGCCTGAGTACGATGACCGGCAGCTCCGAGGCGTGTGCTGGAAATGGCGGGGAACAACAACTGGGAAATAAAAACTTGTGCAATTTTAGAAAACACGTATTAGATGGGATTCGAAGCCGCGTATCGAGATAAAGATGAAATTGTCCCTGGAAAGATTCGAACTTGTGTGTTGCCGTGAGACTGAAAATGTATGAGAGCCGCTTTACTCATCTAATATACACGAGTAATTTAGTAAATGACTCTACACCATTAATACTGATGGTGGGGTGAGGAGGAAGTCACCGTCAGATGAAACCATATAATAAACATCAATAACAAAGACGATTCAATTAGTTTTGCTGTTGGTTTTTACTCCTCGACTTTCATTACTCATCTCTCTCTCGATTAGGTTACGTTATGAGAGGCCATGTCGACCCACTCAGTGATGTATAGTGTATAAAACAATGAATAACCGTATAAGCTTCAAGTTGCATTATGCATCTCATTAGCATTTTAATCTCACTGGAACATCAAATGAATGTCGCTTTCTATCGCTGGTCGTTGTAATCATACTGCTGTTGTGTTGTTTTTATCTGAACTTTATTACGGTAGAGTGGTACTGGAAAGCCTCATATTTATATTGAGAGAATAGTTGAATAGTTAATAGTATAGGCTGGTGCGTGGTAATCTCACCCTTCAAGCAGGATGGGAAAATATTGGCGCAGGGTGAGTCTTGACGTGCATCAATATATCCTATCTCGACCAGCCCACCATCCATCACGCCTTTGACAGATCGCTTATACGCCGATGCTTCTCTCTGTCTTGCCTCACCTCTTGTTAGGTCGCTTATATTCCGATACATCATGCTGCAGTCCCTTTATCATGTCGTTTATATACCAATAAGTCATGCTGCAGCTCCTGTCTGGTCGCTCACACTCGGATAGGTCGTGCTTCAAGTGGCCAAACAATTTTCAGAATTAAGCATTGGTGTTGACATCACATTACGTACATGTCAATATCCCATAATTAGAAATTATTTATTTATGAAACAAAAAAGACGAAAAATCCTCCTGAAAAAAGGACACAACAGTAAATTTGCATTTTCATCAAGAACAAATACGACCAAAGCCAGTGAAAGCCAGTAACGTAATATTCGTCATAATTGACTTACTGTCTATAGTCATAAGTTACACAGTTACGTCATCGAGTTGCATCAGCCAATCAACACAGGCTCTGGTGTAGTTCATCCCCTCAAGACAAGTCACTAACAAAAACAGAAAAATCGACAACATTCGACAGGAAGTTAACACTGGAGAAGTTTTAAGGCCCCACATTTTAAATTCTCAAAACTTTTTCGCCCGGGAATTATTCGTGTTGTCTTGAACGTCATGACAGTGAATGGTTGTGACACTTGACGACAGGCTCGAGTGTTACCTTACCCTGGTCTAGAGACAGTGATGAATACTTGTGAGGATTTTGTTCCTTGTGTTGATGGATTTGGTTCGAGTATTTGTACATAGATTTTATTTTATTGTTTTCGATTTGTATAAATTTATTTTTTTATATTTATCGGAAAGAAAAATTGAGGTGAGAATATTATTTTTAGGAGAGGGAGGAAAAGTTGCCTTAATTTTCGTCACTGTTTTTAACTTAACTTATTTCCTTTCAGTTTGTAAAGTTGGTATATATTCAGTAGTTGGAGTAGTATGTTATTTTACATTTTTAATTTCAATTTTTTTTTCACTTAAATTTCACCATTGTTGTATAGTTTTTAATAGAATATAACACTTGCTATGTTAATTCATATCAATATTTTTTCCTATTTACATTTCACCAGTAGACTTTAATGCTGTTTTACCTTTTTAATTAATAAAGAGTTTTCCGCTTCTCAACAGTACACCTGGAGGACCTATACTGCTTCCACTACACCGCCAGCAACGATGACCTGGATAAGCGAGATGGCTGGGACCTGTACAATCCTGCAGCAGAGTACCACCGTATGGGCGTCCCCTGTGAGGCCTGGTCCCCTACCACACTCAACCACAATTATGAGGTAGGTCACCACCCTCTCTCTATCCTCAACCACATTCAACCACAACTATCACGTAGGTCAACCACTACCATGATATACTGTACGTCACCCCCTCTTTCCACTACCACATTCAACCACAACTATTAGGAAGGTCATCCTCTCTCTCCCCCTCCACCACACTCAACCAAAATTATGAGATACGTCCACACTTCACCACAGTCAACCACAACCACCAGGTAGATCAACCACCACACTCCACCACCACATCCAGGTGGAGAACGCCCGACCACTGCGGATGAAAACTTTAAACAAATAATAATCGTCAGGATGTGAACTGAAATCAATATTGTGGTGTTGGAGAGCCTGCTGGAGGCTTCACTCTACTGCTGGAGGCTTCACTACTGCTGGAGGCTTCACTCTACTGCTGGAGGCTTCACTCTATTGCTGGAGGCTTCACTCTACTGCTGGGGGCTTCACTACTGCTGGAGGCTTCACTCTACTGCTGGAGGCTTCACTCTTCTACTGTTGAGGCTTCACTACTGCTGGAGGCTTCACTCTACTGTTGGAGGCTTCACTCTACTGTTGAGGTCACTCGACTGCTGGAGGCTTCACTCTACTGTTGGAGGCTTCACTCACTGTTGGAGGCTTCACCTTCAACTGCTGGAGGCTTCACCGACTGCTGGAGGCTTCACTCGACTGCTGAGGCTTCACTCTACTATTGGAGGCTTTACCCCTTACTGTTGGAGGCTTCACTCGACTGGGCTGGAGGTTTCACTTGACTGCTGGTGCTTCACTCTACTGCTGGAGGCTTCACTCTACTGCTGGAGGCATTCTATTTCCAGGATTCTATATCTCCGATCCAGATTGAGCGCTATTTTGAGCTCTCATTAGGGTGGATTACCTGGTGGCTGGGAATGTGTCTTGTATTGTGCAGTGAATGGTAGTAGGAACTCAAGGGGATGAAAGGAAGTAGCTATTTTCTGTGTGTGTGTGTGTGTGTGTGTGTGTGTGTGTGTGTGTGTGTGTGTGTGTGTGTGTGGGGGGGATATCTGTTCCTCTGTTGTGATGATGGCGACACCCAGGAACACATCAATATGATAATACTCAATACATTATTAATACAATGTACGTAGTAGTTACCCATACAAATAATTAATATAGTAGAGATTAATTTATAATAGACAGGAGTATTGGTGGGGGGTGGGATAAGACTACCTTGATTCTACCCTCCAACTAAAACTTTTTTTCCCTTTTTATTCCCTTGGAGCACCCCTTTAGTGACTATAGAAATTGTGGGTTCGTTAGTTGGTTTGTTATCTTGGCTGTTATTTATTCTGGTTAGGTTTCCCTAGGAGATAAACTCTGTATCTCAACTTTAGTGAGTGGTGTGTGTGTGTGTGTGTGTGTGTGTGTGTGTGTGTGTGTGTGTGTGTGTGTGTGTGTGTGTGTGTGTGTGTGTGTTTTACTGTGTATTTCTGTGTCGGAGAACAGGTATGCTTTCTTCCTTAGTGAACGAAGTATATTCAATTATTATTTAGTAGGAGTGAGAGGTTTTTTTACTCACCTGTACTGTTGAACATAAAGGTAAGGAGGTGAACATTATGATAGGTTATGAGTTTTTGTGAAGAGTGATGAACTTGAGGAATGTTCCACCTGTGTTCCACCTGTGTTCCACCTTTGTTCAGTAGAGCCCCAGGGACCTAACAGCCTCTCCTCGTTGTACCGGGTATGGCTTATAATGAGGTGGTGGTCCTATGAGGGTCTTTTAGTGGTCCTATGAGGGTCTTTTAGTGGTTCTATGAGGGTCTTTTAGTGGTCCTATGAGGGTCTTTTAGTGGTTCTATGAGGGTCTTTTAATGGTCCTATGAGGATCTTTTAGTGGTCCTATGAGGGTCTTTTAGTGGTCCTATGAGGGTCTTTTAGTGGTTCTATGAAGGTCTTTTAATGGTCTTATGAGGGTCTTTACTGGTCCTATGAGGGTCTTTTTTAATGGCCCCTGCCTTAAAGGTCCTATGAGGGTCTTTTTAATGGTCCGATGAGGGCTGAGGTCTTTTTAATGGTCCGGTCCTGAGGTCTTTTAATGGCCGGCTCTTTAAAGGTCCTAGGAGGGTCTTTTAATGGTCCTATGAGGGTCTTAATGGTCCTAGGAGGGTCTTTTAATGGTCCTAGGAGGGTCTTTTAATGGTCCTAGGAGGGTCTTTTAATGGTCCTATGAGGGTCTTTTAATGGTCCTACGAGGGTTTTTTAATGGTCCTACGAGGGTCTTTTAATGGTAAGGTGAGGTTAGGTTACGTGAAGGCGAAGGAGGAGGAGGAGGATGGGAGGGAGAGCGTGGAAGACGAATAAGGAAGATAATAGGAACAGAGATAGACCAATAACACGATGGATAGACACAGGGACGAGTGGATGATGGATGACAGCGACAGGTGGCGGCTCAGGTGGATGATTTGTGGATCAGTGGATGACGTAGACCTTACTCAGGGGAGAAGTGTTGGAAGAGTTTGTCCTGAGAGAGAGAGAGAGAGAGAGAGAGAGAGAGAGAGAGAGCAACAACTCCAGGTATTATTAACAACAAGACTCATCATGGGAGTGGCAGTAAGGGGAATTATCTTTGTAATCAGGTAATGGGAGGCAAAATATATCGTGTTATTTATGTTATTTTTATCTCATTATTCTCCTTCCTCTTCTATCTCACTCTTTATTTCTTCTCCTCCTCCTCCTCCTTTCGTTTCCCTAATTTCTTGTTCTTGGCTGTTTTCCTCTCTCTCTCCTCTCTCTCTCTCTTTCTCTGATTCTCCCCCTCGATTCCTTCCTCCCTCCCTCCCTTCCCTCCCTCCCTTCTCTCCCTCGCCCTCCCAGGACACGTAACCCAGGCAAATAATAGTGAGAGCCAGTAAGAACAGATCCTTAAACTTGCAATTGGTACCTGCCTCACGATACCCCGAGGAGAGTGGAAGTGAGAGGGAGGGAGAGGGTGCCAGAGGGGCGAGAGAGACAAAGGGAGGAGAGGGTGAGAGGTGGGAGGTGAGTAGGGTGGGAGAGTGAAAGGTTAAAATAAGGAAGGACAGGAGGAAAGTGGGGGTAGAGGTCAGGGGAAGGGAAGAGGGAGGAGGAGAGAGGGGGTGAGAGAATGGGAGAGAGGAAATGGAGGGAGAGATAAGGTAAAAGGTAGGGAAGAGGAAGAGTATAAGCAGTGGTGAGAGGGAGTGAGAAGTTTACCTTATATCAGAACCTGTAATCTACACAGGTGAATAAAATAAACAATTTACACCTTAAAAAGCTCCCTCCCCCCCCTACCTAACGTGGTGGTCTGGGTGTAAAACCTGCCACCCAGAGGTGTAAACTGTTTACAAGTTTAGTTTAGATGGTACGTGAGGAGTGGGGGAGGGGGCGATGAAGGGAGAGTGGAGGGCAGACTTGGGGCTGGGCTGACGGGCAGGGCTTTCCAGGCTTCACGAAATCTTAACACCATTACAGTACTTGTATAATATACTGTATTACCTCACACGTTGATGGTAATACATAATATGTAAGTTGCAGCAAGGCTTTGAGGTAATCTGAATTTATTTTAAGCTGATTAAGCAGATTTGACTCTCCCTTGAAAAAGAAAATAATTAATGACTTTAAACATTCTTGAATTGGTACGACTTGACACTACTAAGAATAGCACTTACTGACGAGTTGTGGAGTGTAATGGTGAGAAGTCTTGTTAAAAGTAGGGAACGTTGTGTATAATTCATTGGTGTTGGGTCAATGAGTCCACACACACACACACACACACACACACACACACACACACACACACACACACACACACACACACACACACACACACACGGCCCAAGTACATGTTCCGTGTATGTATGTTTGTATAAATTGGTCCTTCTTTTAAAACCTCAATTGGTACTCAACTTAATTAGTCATCTCGAGTCCAACATTTGTAACTTTAGTAATTACTTGTCCTAATGACTTGGGAAAAATCTCATTCGTTTTACAGCATTAATATTCTCTTTCCATTAATTTTTTCGATGTTTATGTCTTGTTGTGATTTTTGATTCGCTGAAACAGTCAAACAATCCACACATATTTCTTTTTGTTTCCTAGTAGTTACCGGTGTGTGTGTGTGTGTGTGTGTGTGTGTGTGTGTGTGTGTGTGTGTGTGTGTGTGTGTGTGTGTGTGTCTGCGAACGCTTATGAAACAGCACCACCGTGATTAATGGCTCTCCGCCTCCTACACGAGTCATCCCTCATCCCGGCCACTACCGACATTATGCAGATTTCCAGCTTCATATCCTTTATATTATGTTATGTGTTCTACCACTATAACTCATTAATCCCTTGAGTACGATGATTTAACCCCCTTGAGTATGATGATTTAACCCCATGAGTATGATGATTTAACTCCATAAGTATGATGATTTAACTCATTAAGCATGAAGATTTAATCCCTTGAGTATGATGATTTAACCCCATGAGTATGATGATTTAACCCCATAAGTATGATGATTTAACCCCTTAAGTATGAAGATTTAATCCCTTGAGTATTCTGATTTAACCCCATGAGTAATATAAAACCATAATATTAAGAACTATGTAAAAAAATCTTCACAAACTCTACTATAACATGTATTACCAGAACCCATCATACCTTATACTAAGTTGAGGCCACCGAGGCAGATATGAACCAAGAGTATATCATCTTGAAACATGCATGACCTCCTGACTCTGTGCTAAATTGGGACCTCTGTCTTATAGGTCAAGGTCAATGCTGAAGGTCAAATGGCAATCTGCATGTAGATATAATGGATTACATGAAGATTAGACAACCCCCAATTATCTCATCTGATGATTATATATACTATTGCCACCTGGGGGAGGTTAGGTTTGGTTAGAGTAACGGTAAGGTGCTTAAGTTAATCTTCAGGTGAAATAGGCTGGAGTGTCTAATTTTCATGTGATTTGAAAAAAAAAAAAATCGTGCCCACAGCATAACTTTACAATTTCAACACAATTAGGATCACCACCTGACAAAAATTGGTTGAAATGGGTGAAGGGTCAAAGATCATTGAGATAAATTACTTTCCTACTCTGCCGACCATAACTGGCTGCCTGTGTATCAACCCCAGCCTGGCCCAGCATGTCGTGAACAAGGACTGGGGAGCAAATTTCACCCGATTTTGTTTATTTTAACTTGTTATCTTGTCCATTTCCTGCATGTTATATTCTTCATTCCTGTATTTCACTTTTCTCTGTCTTTGCTACCCTCTGTATTCACCATAATCCTTAAATATTTCCCTTTGTTTCACACTGTATTCACCATTACTTCACCTGTTCTCTTTTTACACACTTCAGGTACATATAATCCCTGCTTAACCTAACATAACCTAACCTACTTGTCATCCACTCATCTCTTACTGTCATCTGCTCTTTCTCTACCTCTTTCACTCTCCACCATTCTCCATAATACACTGAGTGGTGCTTATAAGGATCCCTGAGTTCGCCCAGCAAGTTGTTGGTAGGCGGCTGGTGACATAAGTAAGGTAAAGCTTTTGTTAATTAGGTAAACTTGAGACCCTTGTCGAGGCCACAAAGTTTCCAGGAAGACACGACCTAATCAATGTATTTACCTGATTTTATACTCTCCACCTTCTTCATCAAGTCAGTGTGTGTGTGTCTCCTTCTCAGATAGTTGGTGTGGATGGCTGTATGTGTCACGGGAATTAACTGTGATTTACCTGGATTGTGATGGTTACCAGTTGAAGGGTTGTCATGGTCTGTCTGTCTCTGTCTTGTACTCAGTATTGATGACTGTGTGGTGTTTAAATTTTGTCTCATTGTTAGATACATGTGGAAGAAATTTGTTGATGATGTCTTGATTTAACTGACTCGCCAGAGAACACTTTATCTTCTGTACCCTTTATCATTCTTCAACAACACTGGTGATTTGTTTTTTTGTATAGCCCCAAAAATATGAGTTCTTTTGTTAAATTGTCTTGTCAACCATAATAGCACTTAATTAAGACACTGTGTTGTGTTTCAGATCTGTGACACCTACCCCCAGGAGCTATATGTTCCCGCCTCAGCTCCCACCAAGGTTATCCTCAGCAGCTCTAAGTTCCGCAGCAAGGGCCGCTTCCCTGTCCTCTCCTACCTCCACAAGAACCAGGTGCGTCTCGCTCCACACTTGTGGTATCACGATTGTTGTTACTGATTTTGATTTTATAGTATACAGTACAATATATATATATATATATATATATATATATATATATATATATATATATATATATATATATATATATATATATATATATATATATATATATATATATATATATATATATATATATACGTGCGTGCGTGCGCGGTGGAGTTAAATATTATATTGTTTCTTTAAACAAGAGTTGTACTGTAGATATTAATCAGTGCACCTACTTGCAGGCAGCATTGTGTCGATCATCCCAGCCGCTGTCAGGCTTCAGTGCTCGCTGTGAGGAAGATGAAGATTTACTGGACTGCATTCTTCGCTCAAACCCAAATTCCACATACATGACTGTCGTTGACACTAGACCGAAAGTGAGTATTAAATTGACTTTGTTGAGTTAAAGGGTAACTTTCAGCAGTTACCCCTCCTTTTCTTTGTTAACCCTCTATTGTACTGTATACTTTATCACCGGAATTGTGACTCGGTGAACTATCCCTTCAGTGAACGATATTTCACTACACGACGTAATGGTGTTGAAACAAATTTACTGTGGTGACCGTCAACCGTTACATGGGTTTACCATTCTTACATTACCTGGTAAATAATCTTTTACTTCCGGTGTTATTATTTTCATCGTGTGTAATACGTGCAGCTGTGTACTCGTGTAGTACTGTACTCTGAGACATTACCTTCTTAACCTGTCATTAAAACATATTATACTATACCCTGTACTGACATTCCATACCTATGTCCTTTCCTTCAGAACCTAACCTACTTATTGATGTATTAGATAAACAGGGGTGGTTCCAGGAATGTTCAAAGGGAGGATAACATATATAAAGGGCTGCTTAATGTAGGGCTGAAAGAGCACTACCATATACATGCATACAATACGCTACAGGTAACAGGTTTCTATTACCTAGATGGACTTTCATTGTAGCAAGAAATATATACAGTCCAGGTATAAACAAAGTGTGGAATCTTTAATGGTGTTGTTCAGCCGAGTCACTATTCAAGAGGCATTGTTAATAATTCATAGATTCACTCATTATATAAAAGCCTTAGGGTAGTGTGAGATGTGAGTCGTCCTTTGCTGAATTTGTACAGTAACGTAAACAAAGGTACCAGTTAAGGTAAAATGATGGAGGAGGTGAGGAGTGAAGGGTAGTAGGCAGGAGAATGAGGGGTGGTAGGCAGGGGAATGAGGGGTGGTAGGCAGGGGAATGAGGGGTGGTAGGCAGGGGAATGAGGGGCGGTAGGTATGTTAGTGTGGGGTGATGGGTAGGGTAATGAGGGGTGGTGGGTAGGGTAATGAGGGGTGATGGGTAGGTTAATGAGGGGTGATGGGTGGGTGCTGAGTTTTACTTGGCTAGAACTGTGTTAGGCGCTCATTGAGGAAATAAGAGTCCCAATAAAATAAGTAACATAGTAAGAGTACTAATGATGACCTGAAATGTTACTTACGGTAAGTAAAAGTACTTTGAAGAACATATACATTCATATAACTTATTTATTTTAAAAGTCCTTTGAGCTCGGTATCGATAACTATTTTGTTACCGTCCACTCCATAGTGAGGAGTAGAAGGTAAGGTAAAGTGAAGGATAATGGATAGAGCAATGAGGGGTGATGGGTAGGGCAGGATGTGATCATTAAGAAATGTTGGGCAAGGCGGTAAGTGGGCACGCCACATCCCAGCCTCACAAAGTGCACCATTAAACCAAAGGAAGAAGTCAGTGCACCCTCCTGCCTCCACAAGTGAGAGCCTTACCATGTTTCACTTTGTGTATCATCTTCCAACCCTCACCCTCCTTTAGATGCCTTTTTCGTCACAGCTGGCATCACCCCTCTTACCTCCAGCCTCCTCCTCACAATCGCACCACCCCTCTTACCTCCATCCTCCTCCTCACAGTCGCACCACCCCTCTTACCTCCGTCCTCCTCCTCACAGTCGCACCACCCCTCTTACCTCCAGCCTCCTCCTCACAGTCGCACCACCCCTCTTACCTCCAGCCTCCTCCTCACAGTCGCACCACCCCTCTTACCTCAGGCCTCCTCCTCACAGTCCCCCCCCTCTACCTCCATCCTCCTCCTCACAGTCCACCACCCCTCTTACCTCCTCCTCCTCCTCACAGTCGCACCACCCCCTCTACCTCCAGCCTCCTCCTCCACAGTGCCACCACCCCTCTTACCTCCAGCCTCCTCCCTCCACAATCGCACCACCCCTCTTACCTCCAGCCTCCTCCTCACAGTCACCACCCCTCTTACCTCCGTCCTCCTCCTCCACAGTCGCACCACCCCTCTTACCTCCAGCCTCCTCCTCACAGTCGCACCACCCCTCTTACCTCCAGCCTCCTCCTCACAGTGCACCACCCCTCTTACCCTCAGCCTCCTCCTCACAGTCACACCACCCTCTTACCTCGGCCTCCTCCTCACAGTCGCACCACCCCTCTTACCTCCATCCTCCTCCTCACAGTCGCACCACCCCTCTTACCTCCAGCCTCCTCCTCACAGTCGCACCACCCTCTTACCTCCAGCCTCCTCCTCACAGTCGCACCACCCTCTTACCTCCATCCTCCTCACAGTCCACCACCCTCTTACCTCGAGCCTCCTCCTCACAGTCCCCACCACCCCTCTTACCTCCAGCCTCCTCTCACAGTCCGCACCACCCCTCTTACCTCCAGCCTCCTCCTCACAGTTGCATCACCCCTCTTACCTCCATCCTCCTCCTCACAGTCGCACCACCCCTCTTACCTCCAGCCTCCTCCTCATGGTCGCACCACCCCTCTTACCTCCAGCCTCCTCCTCACAATCGCACCACCTCTCTTACCAAAATCCATTTTTTGGCCGAAAATGACAAAAATTGTAAGTCTTATGCATAAGATTTTTGGCTAAAAATAATTTTTCTCTCTGAACTAAAATTTAATGTGCCTAACTATTTAAGTACATCCAGAATAATACACAAGCACCAAAAATGACCTCGAAAACCCATAAGTGGCGAGTAATTAGCATTGCAAAAGTAATTAAAATATTCTAAAATCATTTGAACATTTTCTAAAAGCCATTTGAACAAGTTATAATCAAGATATCAAATTTTGGTTAACAGATCCTTAAGCAGCACATTCAGGAGTACCTACTGAAATTTTGAACAAAATCCATTTTTGGCCAAAAATGACAAAAATGTAAGTCTATTGCCTTAAAGATTTTTGGCCAAAAATACTTTTCTCTCTGAACTAAAATTTAATGTGCCTAACTATTTAAGTACATCCTGAATAATACACAAGCACCAAAAATGACCTCAAAACCCATAAGTGGCGAGTAATTAGCATTGCAAAAGTAATTAAAATATTCTAAAATCATTTGAACATTTTCTAAAAGCCATTTGAACAAGTTATAATCAAGATATCAAATTTTGGTTAACAGATCGTAAGCAGCACGTTCAGGAGTACCTATACTGAACGTGCTGTAGAATCATAATAAACCAAATATGATTCTTTTCCAATAACTTTAAAGGAAATCAGTTCAGAAAAACATTTTCGTATTATTCTGGATATTACTTAAATAGTTAGGCACATTAAATTTTAGTTCAGAGAAAAGCGTATTTTGGCCAAAAATCGCTAAGGCTATAGACTTAAAATTTTTGTCATTTTCGGCAAAAAATGAATTTGTATTCAAATTTCAGTATACGTCTAGACGTTAACAGCAAGGATCTGTTAACCAAAATTTGATATCTTGATTATAACTTGTTCAAATGGCTTTTAGAAAATGTTCAAATGATTTTTTAGAATATTTTAATTACTTTTTGCAATACTAATTACTAGCCATATGGGTTTTTCCGAGGTTCATTTCTTGGTGCTTGTGTATTATTCTGGATAATACTTAAATAGTTAGGCACATTAAATTTTAGTTCAGAGAAAACGTATTTTTGTGTAAAAAATCCTTTGAGCCCTATAGACTTACAATTTTTGTCATTTCGTAAAAAATATGGATTTTTTTTGTTCAAAATTTCGAGTATAGGTACTCTAGACATTAACAACCCAGGATCTGTTAACCAAATTTGATATCTTGATTATAACATTTCAAATGTGGCTTTTAGAAAATATTCCGTGAATACTAGAATATTTTAATTACTTTTACTGGCGTACCTAATTACTCGCCATATGTGGGTTTTCAAGATGTTTCTTGGTGCTTGTGTATTATTCTGGATATTGCCAAATAGTTAGGCACATTAATTTTAGTTCAGAGAGAAAACGTATTTTTGGCCAAAAATCCTTTAAAGGCTATAGACTTACAATTTTGTCATTTTCGGCAAAATGGATTTTTTGTTCAAAATTTCAGTATAAGTACTCCTGAACGTGCTGCTTAGGATCTGTTAACCAAATTGATATCTTGTCTCATTTCTTGGTGCTTGTGTGTGTGTTATTCTCTGGATGTACTTAATAGTTAGGCACATTAATTTTGATTCAGAGAAAACGTATTTTGGTCAAAAATCCTTCAGGCCTATAGACACAATTTTCTCTGTTTTCAGCCCAAAAAAATGGATTTTGTTCAAAATTTCAGTATAGGTACTCTGATCATGCTGTAGGATCAGTAACCAAATTTGATATCTTGATTATAACATTTCAGGAAAATGGCTTTAGAAAATGTTCAAATAGATTTTGAATATTTTAATTCTTTTGCAATCTTCAGTACTCTTATAGGGTTTTCGAGGTCATTTTCTTACAGCTGTATTATTCTGGATATACTTAAATAGTTTGACTGTGTAAATTTTAGTTCAGAGAAACGTATTTTGGCCAAAAAATCCTTTGCAGGCTATAGACTTACAATTTTTCGTCCTTTCAGCCAAAAATAGTTTCAATTCAAGAAGAATTTCAGTATAGTACTCCTGAATGTGCTGCTTAAGGATCTGTTAACCAAAATTTGATATCTTTGGTATAACTTTGTTCAAATGGCTTTTGAAAATGTTCAAATGATTCTTAGAATACCTAGTACTTTTTGCAATGCTAATTACTCGCCACTTATATATAGGTTTTCGAGGTCATTTCTTGAGTGCTTGTGTATTATTCTGGATATTACTTAAATAGTTAGGCATTAAATTTTAGTTCAAGAGAGAGAAAGCATGTTACAGGTAAAAATTCCTTTAAGGCTATAGACTTACAATTTTTCGTCATTCAGCCAAAAAAATTGATTTTGTTCAAATTTCTAGTATAAGTACTCCTGAATATGTAGCAAGGATCTGTTAGCAAAATTTGATCTTGATTATACTTGTTCAAATGGCTTTAGAAAATGTTCAAATGATTTTGAATATTTTTGTTGTTTTCACCAATACTAATTACTCATATATGGGTTTTCGAGGGTCATTTCTTGGTGCTTGTGTATTATTGGATGTGCTTATATGGTTAGGCACATTAAATTTTGGTTCAGAGAAAACATGTTTTGGTAAAAATCCTTCAGGCTATAGACTTACAATTTTTCTTCATTCGGCCAAGAAATGGTTTTGTTCAAAATTTCAGTATAGGTGCTGCAGATATTAACGCCGGGATCTGTTAAGCAAATTTACGTGTCTTGATTATAAACGTTCAAATGGCTTTTTAATCATTCCAAAATGATTTTAGAATATTTAGTACTTTGCAATGTAATTACTCGCCAT